CTGCACTGTGAAGCGGCGTCCAATGAGTTGTGAAGCATTTGGCTGCATATGAGCAGATAATATTGCCCGAAACACTTCAGAATTCATCCTGCTGCTTTTGTCAGCAGTCACATCATCAATAAATACAAGAGAACCAGTTCCATTGGCAGCCATACATGCCCACGCCATGACACTACCACCACCATGCTTCACTGATGAGGTGGTATGCTTAGGATCATGAGCAGTTCCTTTCCTTCTCCATACTCTTCTCTTCCCATCACTCTGGTACAAGTTGATCTCGGTCTCATCTGTCCATAGGATGTTGTTCCGGAACTGTGAAGGGTTTTTAGATGTCGTTTGGCAAACTCTAATCTGGCCTTCCTGTTTTTGAGGCTCACCAATGGTTTACATCTTGTGGTGAACCCTCTGTATTCACTCTGGTGAAGTCTTCTCTTGATTGTTGACTTTGACACACATACACCTACCTCCTGGAGAGTGTTCTTGATCTGGCCAACTGTTGTGAAGGGTGTTTTCTTCACCAGGGAAAGAATTCTTCGGTCATCTATCACAGTTGTTTTCCGTGGTCTTCCGGGTCTTTTGGTGTTGCTGAGCTCACCGGTGCGTTCCTTCTTTTTAAGAATGTTCCAAACAGTTGTTTTGGCCACGCCTAATGTTTCTGCTATCTCTCTGATGGGTTTGTTTTTTTTTTTTTCAGCCTAATGATGGCTTGCTTCACTGATAGTGACAGCTCTTTGGATCTCATCTTGAGAGTTGACAGCAACAGATTCCAAATGCAAATAGCACACTTGAAATGAACTCTGGAGCTTTTATCTGCTCATTGTAATTGGGATAATGAGGGAATAACATGCACCTGGCCATGGAACAGCTGAGAAGCCAATTGTCCCATTACTTACAGTCCCTTAACAAGAGGGATGCACATATGCAAACTGTTGTAATTCCTACACCGTTCACCTGATTTGGATGTAAATACCCTCAAATTAAAGCTGACAGTCTGCAGTTAAAGCACATCTTGTTCGTTTCATTTCAAATCCATTGTGGTGGTGTATAGAACAAAAAATGTTAGAATTGTGTCGATGTCCCAATATTTATGGACCTGACTGTAGTCTCTATCTCTTCCTGAGTATATTCTTACAGGAGTGGTGGGGTAAACGGCTGGAGCTGATGGCATAAAGAGGAGATTTCATCTACATGTGAGATTTCATCACACGGGTGTATGATCTCATGCTGGTTATGACCTCTTGTTTTTAGCAATGGGGTCTATCTGAAGAAGTGAGAGCACACCTGGAATTACACAAGGGTATTCACGCTTTTTTAGTCCCATTTGTTGAAGAATTTGAAGAGACTGCTTCTAATCTCAGCTTGTTACCTGTATGAAAGACATCTGGTAGCCAGAAATCCTGCTGAATGATAGGGGGTCAAATACTTCTTTTCCTCATGAACATGCAAATCAGTGCAGAATTTGTTAGACATGCATTTCTTTTGAATTTTTTTTGTTGCTATTCTGTCTCTCAGTGTTACAATACACCTACCACTCGATTTTTTTTAGACCGATCATTTCTTTGTGAGTGGGCAAACATTCAAAATCAGCAGGGGAGCAAATACTTATTTCCTTCACTGTATGTGTATATGTATATATATATATATATATATATATATATATATATATATATTATATTTATTTATTTATTTATTTATGACCCAGGATAGGCTAACCTGACACTGAATAGTACAGCCTGACCGAGAATGGTACAACATGACACAAGACGGGATAATGTGACACAGGACAGTGTGACACAGGGCAGGACAACATTACAAAAACTGGGACAAAATGTTGGACAGGACAAAGGATGGGACAATCTGTCACAGGACAGGACAATGTGTTGTAGTACAGTATAACCTGATACGGGTCAGAACAATTTAAAGAATGGGACAAGGCACAGGAAAGGATAATGTAACACAGGAAAGGACAATTTGATACAGGATGGGAAAACTTAAAGGAGAGAACAAAATGACATGCGGCAGCACAACCTGACGCAGGACAGGAAAACGCCACACAGGACAAGACAACCAGACACAGAACAGGAAAACGCCACACAGAACAAGAAAACCTGATACAGGACAGGAAAACACCACACAGGACAAGAAGACCTGATACAGGACAGGAAAACGCCACACAGGACAAGAAAACCTGATACAGGACAGGAAAACACCACACCGAACAAGAAAACCTGATGCAGGACAGGAAAACGCCACACAGAACAAGAAAACCTGATGCAGGACAGGACAACAAAACAAAGGATGGTAGAACCTGACACAGGACAGGACAGGACAACCTGACACAGGGTAGAAAAAGCTGAAAAGGCCATGGACCACAAAGAAAGTACAGGACAGAACTATTGCAGGACAGTACAACCTGGGACAGGACAGGACAATGTTATACATGACGAGACAACCTGACACAGGATGGTACAACATGCCACAGGAGAGGACAATTTAACACAATATAGGACAACATGACATAGGTTGGGACAGCCTGACACAGGAGAAGAAACAATGTAACACAATATAGGACAATATTACACAGCATAGGACAACCTGATAACAGAACAACATTATATAGAATCAGAAATCCTAACACAGAATGAGACAACATGACACAGACAATGTAACACCACAATCCAGGACACTGTGACACAATCCAGGACAGCCTGACACAGGAGAGGACAATGTAACACAATATAGGGCAATGTGACACAGGATAAAATAAGGTGATGACAGCACGACCTACAAAGGACAGGACAATGAGACACAGGATAGGACAACGTTATACAGAACAGGACAACCTGACATACAGTAGGACAGGACAATCTGATACAGGAAAGAACAATGTAACACAACACAGGACAACATGATACAGAATGGGACATCATTATACAGAACAGGGCAATCTGACACAGGACGAGACAATGTAACACAATCCAGGACAATGTGACACAGGACAAGACAACCTGACACCGAAGATGACAATGTAACAAATACAGGGCAATGTGACACAAGATGAGACAAGATGACACAGGACAGGACAATGTTTTACAGAACCAGACATCCTGACACAGGACAGGGCAATCTGACACAGGAAAGAACAATGTATGACATTATAGGACAATGTGATGCAGGATGGGACAACATGACATGATGAGACAATGCAACACAGGATAGGACAACCTGACCCAAGATGGGACAACATTATACAGAAGCAGACAACCTGACACAGGACGGGACAACGTACCAGAGGATGAGACAATGTGAAATAATATAGGACAACGTACCAGAGGACAGGACAATCTGACACAATACCAAAAACTCCACACACAGGAGAGGAGAATACCACACACAGGAGAGGAGAACCCCACACGCAGGAGAGGAGAACCCCACAAGCAGGAGAGGAGAACCCCACACGCAGGAGAGGAGAACCCCACACGCAGGAGAGGAGAACCCCACACGCAGGAGAGGAGAACCCCACACGCAGGAGAGGAGAACCCCACACGCAGGGGAGGAGAACTCCACACGCAGGAGAGGAGAACTCCACACGCAGGGGAGGAGAACTCCACACGCAGGGGAGGAGAACTCCACACGCAGGGAGGAGAACTCCACACGCAGGAGAGGAGAACCCCACACGCAGGAGAGGAGAACTCCACACACAGGAGAGGAGAACTCCACACACAGGAGAGGAGAACTCCACACACAGGAGAGAGAATACACACACAGGAGAGGAAAATACTACACAGGAGAGGTGAACCCCACACGCAGGAGAGGAGAACCCCACACGCAGGAGAGGAGAACCACACACGCAGGAGAGGAGAACCCCACACGCAGGAGAGGAGAACTCAGGAGAGGAGAACTCCACACAGGAGAAAAGAACTCCACACACAGGAGAAAAGAAACTCCACACACAGGAGAGAATACCACACACAGGAGAGGAAAATACTACACAGGAGAGGTGAACCCCACACGCAGGAGAGGAGAACTCCACACACAGGAGAGGAGAACTCCACACACAGGAGAGGAGAACTCCACACACAGGAGAGGAGAACTCCACACACAGGAGAGAATACCACACACAGGAGAGGAAAATACTACACAGGAGAGGTGAACCCACACACGCAGGAGAGGAGAACCCACACACGCAGGAGAGGAGAACCCCACACGCAGGAGGAGAACCCCACACGCAGGAGAGGAGAACCCCACACAGCAGGAGAGGACCACAAACTCCAAAAAACACAGGAGAGGAGAACTCCACACACAGGTAGAGGAGAACTCCACACACAGGAGAGGAGAACTCCACACACAGGAGAGAATACCACACACAGGAGAGGAAAATACTACACAGGAGAGGTACACACACGAGGAGAGGAGAACCCCACACGCAGGAGAGGAGAACCCCACACGCAGGAGAGGAGAAACCCCACACACAGGAGAGGAGAACCCCACACACAGGAGAGGAGAACCCACACACAGGAGAGGAGAACTCCACACACAGGAGGAGAGGAGAGAACCCCACACACGCAGGAGAGGAGAACCCCACACACAGGAGAGGAAACCCCACACGCAGGAGAGGAGAACCCCACACAACAGGAGAGGAGAACTCCACACACAGGAGAGGAGAGGAGAACCCCACAACCCCACACACACGCAGGAGAGGAGAACCCCACACGCAGGAGAGGAGAACCCCACACACAGGAGAGGAGAAACCCACACACAGGAGAGGAGAACCACCACACACAGGAGAGGAGAACCCCACACACAGGAGAGGAGAATACTACACAGGATGAGACAATAGGAGCAGCATGGTTCCAGCGGACAAAGCTCTGGTAGTGACTGAGTATATGGGGGGATGGGGGGGGGGGGGGTATACATTGATCCTTTATACACCATTCAGCAAAAGACAAATCGGCAACCAAGAAGGTATCCGGACATGATTTATAAAGAGGAAAACTCACCTTCCAGTCAGTGTCAGTGGATGCAGAGAGGAACGTATCAGCGGATTCCTGAAACCACAGCAAAATATGTTAATTACTATTTACCTCAATGAAAGTCTCTGCAGAATATCACTCCTAATACTGCAATATCACTTTTGCACAGTGTTACCCTAATACTAAACTTCTGGGTAGAGAAATATTCCTTACAATGCAATGTTGATGATCAAACTTCATGACTTTGTAGATAACTCTACAGAGTATCACTCCTAATACTACACAGCTCTATAGAGTATCACTCCTAATACTACACAGCTCTATAGAGTATCACTCCTAATACTACACAACTCTATAGAGTATCACTCCACTCCTAATACTACACAACTCTATAGAGTATCACTCCTAATACTACACGAGCTCTATAGAGTATCACTCCTAATACTACACAGCTCTATAGAGTATCATTCCTAATACTACACGCTCTATTGAGTATCACTCCTAATACTACACAACACTATAGAGTATCACTCCTAAATACTACACGACTCTATAGAGCATCACTCCTAATACTCACACAGCTCTATAGAGTATCACTCCTAATACTACACGACTCGAGCTGTAGAGCATCACTCCTAATACTACACAGCTCTATAGAGTATCACTCCTAATACTAAACACAACTCTGTAGAGCATCACATAGAGCTGTGTAGTATTAGGAGTGATGCTCTACAGAGTCGTGTAGTATTAGGAGTGATACTCTATACTCTATAGAGTATCACTCCTAATACTACACAGCTCTATAGAGTATCACTCCTAATACTACACAACTCTAGAGTATCACTCACTAATACTACACAGCTTATAGAGTATCACTCCTAATACTACACAACACTATAGAGTATCACTCCTAATACTACACGACTCTATAGAGTATCACTCCTAATACTACACAGCTCTATAGAGTATCACTCCTAATACTATATAGAGTATCACTCTATAGAGTACAACTCCTAATACTACACAACTCTATATAGTATCACTCCTAATACTACAAAACAACTCTGTAGAGCATCACATAGAGTCGTGTAGTATTAGGAGTGATACTCTATAGAGTCGTGTAGTATTAGGCGTGATGCTCTATAGAGTTGTTTAGTATTAGGAGTGATACTCTATAGAGTCGTGTAGTATTAGGAGTGATGCTCTATAGAGTTGTTAGTATTAGTATTAGAGAGTGTACTCTCTAGTCGTGTATTAGGTCGCTCTATAGAGTTGTTTAGTAGGAGTGATGCTCTATAGAGCTGTGTAGTATTAGGAGTGATGCTCTACAGAGTCGTGTAGTATTAGGAGTGATACTCTATACTCTATAGAGTATCACTCCTAATACTACACAGCTCTATAGAGTATCACTCCTAATACTACACAGCTTATAGAGTATCACTCCTAATAATACTACACGACTCTATAGAGTATCACTCCTAATACTACACGACTCTATAGAGTATCACTCCTAATACTACACAGCTCTATAGAGTATCACTCCTAATACTACACAGCTTATAGAGTATCACTCCTAATACTACACGACTCTATAGAGTATCACTCCTAATACTACACAGCTCTATAGAGTATCGCTCCTAATACTACACGACTCTGTAGAGTATACAACTCCTAAAGGCCGGTTCACACTATAGAAATGCGTTCCAGATGCATTTCTGCATGCGCGGTTTTGACGCATTCCAGTACGTTTTTTATGCATTCCAGTTCATTTTTCCCCCTCTCTTTTTCTTCAATTTAAATAGGGGCATGTTCATTCCAGTGTGTTTTTTGTATGCATTTTGGTGTGTTCCAGTGCAGTTCTGTGCAGAAAAAATGCAGCCTGTTCTACTTTTTTTTCTGCAACCGGATTGCACTGCAAGCACTGATGTGAACTATAACATTGACAACCATATAACCTACTTTCTGTGCGTTTTGGATGCAGAAAAAAAGCAACTGAAATGCATGTAGTGTGAACTGACCCTAAAGCTACATGTTGGTAGAGTATTATGCCTAATCCTACACACATCTGTACAGCATTACTCCTAATCCTACATCACTTAGTAGAGTATTACTCCAAATCCTGCATGACTCTGTAGAGTATCACTCCTAATCTTACACAGATTTGTAAAAAATATTACACCTAATCCTACATGACACTTCTTTCATTATTAATACTGAAAATTATTTTTTTTTACAATATAGTGCAGGAATACAGTTTTTAATGAAAATACTTCATTATCAGATACAATACTCAATATTTATAATGACACCTTCTCAGTGTATATACCAGGAGAAACTTTTCTTTTCTTTATAAAATTGAGGGAAGGAAGATAAGACATTCCTTGTATTGTTTGTCATATTATGTTAGTGAAAGCAAAAAGATCTGCAGAAAGATAGATCTGCAAGTGTGTGGAGATATGCCTGGGCAAAAGGAAGGAAGATCTGCAGGTGGGTGTAGGTAAGTGAGGGTGAAGGGAATGGAGATCCGAAGGTGGGTGTAGGTAAGTGAGGGTGAAGGGAATGGAGATCCGAAGGTGGGTGTAGGTAAGTGAGGGTGAAGGGAATGGAGATCCGAAGGTGGGTGTAGGTAAGTGAGAGTGAAGGGAATGGAGATCCGAAGGTGGGTGTAGGTAAGTGAGGGTGAAGGGAATGGAGATCTGAAGGTGGTGTGTAGGTAAGTGAGTGAGAGTGAAGGGAATGGAGATCCGAAGGTGGGTGTAGGTAAGTGAGGATGAAGGGAATGGAGATCTGAAGGTGTCCGTAGGTAAGTGAGAGTGAAGGGAATGGAGATCTGAAGGTGGGTGTAGGTAAGTGAGGATGAAGGAAAGGGAGATCTGAAGGTGGCTGTAGGTATGTGAGGGTCCAGGGAAGGGAGATCTGAAGGTCAGGGTAGGTAAGTGAGGGTGAAGGGAAGGGAGATCTAAAAGGTGGGTGTAGGTATGTAAGGTTCCAGGGAAGGGAGATATGAAGGTGGGTGTAGGTATGTGAGGGCCCAGGGAAGGAGGATCTGAAAGTGGCTGTAGGTATGTGAGGGTCTAGGGAAGGGAGATCTGCAGGTGGGTGTAGGTAAATGAGGGTGAAGGGAAGGGAGGTCTGAAGGTGGGTGTAGGTAAGTGAGGGTGAAGGGAATGGAGATCCGAAGGTGGGTATAGGTAAGTGAGGATGAAGGGAATGGAGATCCAAAGGTGGGTGTAGGTAATTGAGGATGAAGGAAAGGGAGATCTGTAGGTGTCCGTAGGTAAGTGAGGGTGAAGGGAATGGAAATCTGAAGGTGGCTGTAGGTATGTGAGGGTCCAGGGAAGGGAGATCTGAAGGTCGGGGTAGGTAAGTGAGGGTGAAGGGAAGGGAGATCTGAAGGTGGGTGTAGGTATGTGAGGGTCCAGGGAAGGAAGATCTGAAGGTGGGTGTAGGTATGTGAGGGTCCAGGGAAGGAGGATCTGAAAGTGGCTGTAGGTATGTGAGGGTCCAGGGAAGGGAGATCTGCAGGTAGGTGTAGGTAAATGAGGGTGAAGGGAAAGGAGGTCTGAAGGTGGGTGTAGGTAAGTGAGGGTGAAGGGAAGGGAGATCTGAAGGTGGGTGTAGGTAAGTGAGGGTGAAGGGAAGGGAGATCTGAAGGTGGGTGTAGGTAAGTGAGGGTGAAGGGAAGGGAGATCTGAAGGTGGGTGTAGGTATGTGAGATCTGCAGTAAGGTGTAGGTAGGGGAGGTTGAATAAAGGTAGATTTGGTCCAGGATGCAAAATTGGCCCTTTTACACTACCCTATTCCCAGGCTCTACGCCTCACAACAGAAATTGACCACGTACCTTTTTATTTCAGCTAAATGCGCAAGCCTGGAAAACCCAGCGGATGACCTTTCAGGGGTTTAAAACAAGATTGACTAGTATGACGATCCACGAACAAATGTCTAGTATCCTTAGGATCTCATATGAGCTCCCACCACTTTACCCATCATGCCTAGACCTTGTCTGGCTGCCCCCTCTGGGGCATCCACATCCGAGTTACTCCCTTAACCCCCCTTCCTTCTTCCTCTCCCACTCTTACACTTCCTTCTTTACACCTTCTTTTCCTCTGTCTAGCTTTCCTTGACTATGCTCACACAGCCACCATTTTTTGAAGTTGGCTGCAGGTGCAGAGCCTCCCCTTTGAGGCCTGCAAGAGAATTTTGGGACCTGGCTTCTCTCCATATTCCATTTATTAGTTCCGTCCCGACATCCCAGATTTCATCTATTTTTGATACTTGGTATACACTGGAGGACTGAATTCAAAGACACCCCGAAAATCAAAGTGAAAATATAATGCAGCAGGCGAGTCCATTTTGCAGAAATTTCATTGCAGCAACTCAAAATGGTCCTCAGTAGTTTGTATGGTACCCATGTGCTTGTATGCATGCCTGACAATGTCGGGGCATGCTCCTAATGAGACGACTAATGGTGTCCTGGGGTATTTCCTCCTAGATCTGGACCAGGGCATCACTGAGCTCCTGGACAGTCTGAGGTGCAACCTGGCAGAGTTGGATGGACCGACACATGATATTCCTGAGGTGTTCTATTGGATTTATGTCAGGTAAGCGTGGGGGCCATTCAATGGTATCAATTCCTTCCTCCTCTAAGAACTGCCTGCATACTCTCGCCACATGAGGCCAGGCATTGTTGCACACCAGAAGGAACCCAGGACCCCCTGCACCAGTGTAGGGTCTGACAATGGGTCCAAGGGTTTCATCCCGATAACTAATGGCAGTCAGGGTGCCATTGTCTAGCCTGTAGAGGTCTGTGTGTCCCTCCATGGATATGCCTCCCCCAGACCATCACTGACCCACCACCAAAACGGTCATGCTGAACCAAGTTACAGGCAGCAGAACATTCTCCACAGCTTCTCCAGACCCTTTCACATCTGTCACATGTGCTCAGGGTGAACCTGCTCTCATCTGTGAAAAGCACAGAGCACCAGTGGTGGACCTGCCAATTCTGGTGTTCAATGGCAAATGCCAATCCAGCTCTATGGTGCCAGGCAGTGAGCACAGGGCCCAGTAGAGGACATTGGGCCCTCAGGCCACCTTCATGAAGTCGGTTTCTGATTGGTCAGAGACATTTGCACCAGTGGTCTGCTGGAGGTCATTTTCTAGGGCTCTGGCAGGGCTCATCTTGCTCCTCCTTGCACAAAGGAGCAGATACCTGTCCTGCTGATGGATTGAAGACCTTCTACGGCCCTGTCCAGCTCTCCTAGAGTAACTGCCTGTCTCCTGGAATCTCCTCCATTCTCGAGACTGTGCTGGGAAACACAGCAAATCTTCTGGCAATGGTATGTATTGATGTGCCATCCTGGGGGAGTTGGACTGCCTGTGCAACCTCTGTAGGGTCCAGGTATGACCTCATGCTACCAGTAGTGACACTGACCCTAGCCAAATGCAAAACTAGTGAAAAACAGTCAGAAAAGATGAGTAGGGAAAAAAATGTCAGAGGCCTCCACCTGTAAAACTATTTCTGTTTTGGGGGTCGTCTCATTGTTGCCCATCTGGTGCACCTGTTGTTAATTTCACTGACACCAAAGCAGTTGAAACTGATTAACAACCCCTCTGCAACTTAAATGACCAGATAAATATCCCTGGAGTTTAAGTGACTGGATGCTAGACTGATTAAAAAGTGTTCCTTTAATTTTTTTTGAGCAGTGTATTTGACTGAATTGTATTGTTTAGTCTGTACTGGTTATCTATCACTCAGCCCCTGCGTGGGTGATTCATATGCCTGACTTAGACTTTTGTATTTCTCATGTTAAAATCCAATAAAAATATTGAAACAGAAAAGAAGGTAGATCTGCAGGTGGGTGTAGGTAAAAGAGGGTGAAGAGAAGACAGATCTGCAGGTCAGTGTAGGTAAGGTAAGGTGCAGGGAAGGGAGATCTGCAGGTAGGTACAGGTACGGGAGGGTGAAGGGAAGGTAGATCTGCAGGTGGATGTAGGTAAGTGGGGATGCAGCAAAGGGAGATCTGCAGGTGGGTGCAGGTAAGTGAAGGTGAAGGAAAAGGAGATCTGTGGGTGTAGGTAGGTGAGGGTAAAGGGAAGGGAGATCTGAAGGCAAGTGTAGGTAAGTGAAGGTCCACGGAAGGTAGATCTGTAGGCAGGGGTAAGTAAGTGGGGTACAGGGAAAAAAAAACTGCAGATAGGTGTAGGTAAGTGAGGGTCAAGGGCAGTTAGATCTGCAGTTGGGTGAAAGTAAGGGTGCAGGGAAGGAAGATCTGCAGGTGGGTGTAGGCAAGTGAGGATGAAGGGGAGAGAACAGAAGTGGGAAGGTGTAGGTAAGTGAGGGCTCAGGGAGAGGAGAGGTACAGGTGGGTGTAGGTAAGTGAAGGCGCAGGGAGAGGGAAGGTGCAGGTGAGTACAGGTAAGTGAGGGTTCAGAGAGAGGATAGGTGTGGGTGGGCGTAGGTAAGTGGGGGATCAGGGAGAGGATAGGTGTGGGGTGGGTGTAGGTAAATGGGGGGGGGTCAGAGAGAGGATAGGTGTGGGTGGGCGTAGGTAAGTGGGGGATTAGGGAGAGGATAGGTGTGGGTGGGTGTAGGTAAATGGGGGGGGGGTTCAGAGAGAAGATAGGTGTGGGTGGGAGTAGGTAATTGGGGGGGTTCAGAGAGAGGATAGGTGTGGGTGGGAGTAGATAAGTGGGGGATCAGGGAGAGGATAGGTGTGGGTGGGTGTAGGTAAATGGGGAGTTCAGACAGAGGATAGGTGCTGGTGGGCGTCAGTGTGATGCTGCACGTGCACAGTCTCGGTGACACTCACCATCTCAGTGTCTTGCCCTCTCAGTAGGGGTTTCTCTTCAGGGAAGCGCAGCTCACTCATTCCCGTAATACTGAGCTCCGGCAGCAGCAAACCTACAAAATAACACAGGACAATTCACCAGGACAGCAACTTGCAGACAATATCTGCCCTATTACTCAACCTGCAGACAATATGGGGATATTGAAATGGCGTCTTGGTATAGAAAATCAGGATATTGATGAGGGGTCTCGGTATTGACAACTGGGGTATTGATGAGGGGCCTCGTTATGGAAAATCTAGGTGTCGATGATGGGCGTTGATCTAGACAGTCGGGGTATTGAGGAGTTTCATTGTAGACATTCGGGGTATTGATGAGGGGTCTCAGTATAGACAGTCAGGGTATTGATGGGGGGTCTCAGTATAGACGGTCAGGGTATTGACGAGGGGTCTCAGTATAGACGGTCAGGGTATTGATGAGGGGTCTCAGTATAGACGGTCAGGGTATTGATGAGGGGTCTCAGTATAGACGATCAGGGTATTGATGAGGGGTCTCAGTATAGGGTCTCAGTCTATAGACGGTCAGGGTATTGATGAGGGGTCTCAGTATAGACGGTCAGGGTATTGATGAGGGGTCTCAGTATAGACGATCAGGGTATTGATGAGGGGTCTCAGTATAGACGGTCAGGGTATTGATGAGGGGTCTCAGTATAGACGGTCAGGGTATTGATGAGGGGTCTCAGTATAGACGGTCAGGGTATTGATGAGGGGTCTCAGTATAGACGGTCAGGGTATTGATGAGGGGTCTCAGATAGAGACAGTTGGTCTCCGATCTTTGCTGACTCACCCTGGTGTCACAGTGAGGTGCGATCAGTTACGTAGTTTCTGATTGGAAATTGTGAACTTCCAGCTGCTAAATCTTCTCCTGAGAAACCTTACTATAACCCTCTATATATCTCTTATCTGTATATACCCTTCATCTCTAAATAGCCCTCATCTCCCCTCTATATACCCCTCAGCCCCTCTGTATATACCCATCATCTCTATATACCCTCAGCCCCCTCTATATACAAACCTCTATATAGCTCTCAGCCCCCCTCTATACACCACACCTTCTTTATATACCCCTCATCCTCTTCCCAATTGTCTCATCCACCTCCTTTATGTACCCCTCAATATATCCCTCACCCTTCCTCTATAAACCCCTCATTCCCCAATATACTCCTTACTCTCTCCCCCCCCTCCTATATACCCTTCATCATCCCATTTATCTTTCATCCCTACATAGACCTCTCTTCCCTCCTTCTATATACTTTGCATCTCCTCTATATACCCCTCTCCCCAATATATACACTTCATTCACCTCCTGTATATATACCCTCTCAATATATTCCTCGCACCCCCTTCTCTGTATACCCCTCATCCACAAATTATAACTATAATTCTTCAATTTAATCTTTAGCCAACCCTCTTCTTCTATATATACCCCCTCACTCTCTGCCCAATATACACCTCATCCACTTCCTTTATATAACCCCCTCCCCCATATAGACATCCTTCCCAATATATCTTTCTATATCCCCCACCCTATCATCCCCTCCTCTATTTATCCCTTTACATCCATTTATCTTCATAGTAAGTCCCAGTAAAGCCCTCTTCCCAACAACCTCCAATTATTCAGCACCCTCCACCTCCTACAGCTATACATAGCATATCACTGACACCTCCAGCTCCTCCGTCTCCCCCACCCATCCTCCACTTTTCTGGTTTGCCTTCCATGAAGATACCCTCAGTTTGACATCTCCCCCCACTATTTACCCCAGCCTCCCCATTCCAATCTTCCATCCCACTTCTACAACCTCTAAATGATCCCCTAGCTGCCCTCAATGCTACATTTCCAGCCATCCATTCTCCATGGAGTGTGAAAGTTCCCATCTCTGAACTTCCAGCAGCTGCAGTAATCCTATCTCATGCTGCAGCAGCTGCGACTGACGGGTGCTGTGCTCCGGATGGACACTCACCTCTCTCCTCCCCATGCCACAGAGACATCAGGGAGGAAAACATCTTGTAGCATCTGCATGCAGAGCCCTGACTCAATCCTCGCTCTCTGCCAACAGACTACACCCATCCCTCTCACTGCCAGATTCACCCTCCCCCTTCTGGGCAAAAACCTCACACCCACCTGTGCCCTACACCACGACCCTCCTCCACCTGACACCATCCTCACACCCATCTCTGCCCTATACCACCGACCCTTCTCCACCTGACACCATCCTCTCATCCACCTCTGACCCTTCTCCATCTGACACCATCATCACATCCACCTCTTCTCTATACCACAACCCTCCTCCATTTGACACCATCTCCTCACCCACCCCTGCTCTACACCACCGACTTACCTGCAGCTGACACCATCCTATCACCACCTTTGCCCTACACCACCGACCCACCTGCACCTGGCACCATCCTATCACCACCTTTTCCCTACACCACTGACCCACCTGCACCTGGCACCATCCTATCACCACCGACCCTCCTCCATCTGACACTGTCCTCACATACAACTCTACCTTACACCACCAACCTTCCTCCACCTGACACCATCCTCACACCCACCTCTGCCCTACACCACCAACCTTCCTCCACCTGACACCATCCTCTCACCCACCTCTGCCCTACACCACCAACCTTCCTCCACCTAACACCATCCTCACACCCACCTCTGCTCTACACCATTGATCCTTTTCCACCTGACACCATCCTCACACCCACCACTGCTCTACACAACTGACCCTCCTTCACCTGACACCATTCCCTCACCCACCTCTGCCCTACACCACCGACCCACCTCCACCTGACACTGTCCTCACATCAAACTCTGTCTTACACCACTGACTCTCCTCCACCTGATACAATCCTCCCACCCACCTCTGCTCTGTACCACGACCCTCCTTCACCTGATACCATCTTCACACCCAACTCTGCTCTACACCACCGACTCTCCTCCAACTGACACCATCATAACACCTACCTATGTCCTACACCATGACCCTCCTCCACCTGACACAGTCCTCAAACCCACCTCTGTCCTACACCACTGAACCTCCTTCATGTATTACTGTCCTCACATCCACCTCTGCCCTATACAACCAACCCTCCTTCACCTGACAACGCCCTCATATGTACTTCTGCCCTACACTACCAACCCTCCTCCACCTCCTCCACCTGACATCCCATCCTCTCTCCCACCTCTGCCCTACACCATTGACCCTCCTCCGTCTTACACTGTCTTCACATCCAACTCTACCTTACACCACCGACCCCCCCCCCCCACCTGATACCATCCTCACACCCAATTATACCCTACATCACTGACCCTCCTCTACTTTGCACCATCCTCACACCAACCTCCACCTGATGCTGTCTTCAAATCCACCTCTGACCTACACCACCAACCCTCCTCCAACTGACATCATCCTCTTATCCACCTCTGCCCTACATCACCGATCCTCCTTCACCTGACACCATCCTCACACCCAAATCTGCCCTACATTATCACCCTTCTCCACCTGACATAATCCTTGCTCTGCATCACTGACTCCAACTTCACACCCACATTTGTCCTACACCAAGACCCTCCTCTAGCTGGCACCATCCTCACACCCACCTCTGCCATACACCACTGACTATCCTTCACCTGACACCGCCTCACATCCACTTCGGCCCTTAACCACCTACCCTATGACACCATCTTCTTACCCACCATTGCTCTATACCACTGACCCTCCTCCACCTGACTAGTTTCACATCAAAACAACCTAAACCTATACCACTAATTCTCCTCTCCTAAACTGGCCACCTCTGCCCTACACCATGGTACACAGTCTCATATTGCCACAATCACATCCCACCAGTTCTGCCCTGAATCACCAACTCTTCTCCACCTGATGCTGTTCTTACACCCATAACCTCTAGCCTACATCAACATCTCCTCTGATCCTAACACCATCCTCACACCTATCCTTTTCTGCTCTGTACCTCCAACTATTCTCCCCAGGACACCAACTTCACACAAACCCCCTATTCTCTACACCACCAATCTTCTACTACATCATATCATCCATACAATCTACCACTTCTGTTCTTCACCACTATCTCTTCCCACTTGACACAATCATTTTGCTACCTCCACCCTGAAGCACCTACCTTCCTGACAGATGACAGCACTGTCACACCAAGCCACCTCTGCCCTATAACATTTTTCCATTCTCCATCTGACCTAATCGTCAGACCCCACATCTACCTTGAAATGCCACCCTCACCAACCCGACTCTATATTCATATATAGTATCTTCTTCTCTATTTCCTCTTCTCCAACCATACCTCTACACTGACCACCACCACATGACACCATCTTTCCATCCAATCCTATCTGTCCTATATCATTGATCCTTCTCAATCAGCCATAACATGGCACAGTCTTCACACCTGGATACCTCTGCTCTGCAACACAAACCTCCTCTGCCTAACACCACCCTCACACCCAGACCCATCCTATACCAATGAGACTCTTCCACCTGATACGATAATAACATCCAGCTACTTCTGTCCTCAACCAGCAGCCCATCTTCATGGGACCCTCCTCTACTTGACATTATCCTCATACCCTACTATGTTTACTTTTCTGCCCTGCACAACCAACACCTCCTCATGGAACTTCATCTTCACACCTAGCCTCTCTTAGCTACACCTCCATCTACTGATCTTCTACCACCTTATACCATCTTCACACCTAGCCTCTCTTAGCTACACCTCCATCTACTGATCTTCTACCACCTTATACCATCTTCACACCTAGCCTCTCTTAGCTATACCTCCATCTACTGATCTTCTACCACCTTATACCATCTTCACACCTAGCCTCTCTTAGCTACACCTCCATCTACTGATCTTCTACCACCTTATACCATCTTCACACCTAGCCTCTCTTAGCTACACCTCCATCTACTGATCTTCTACCACCTTATACCATCTTCACATTAGCCTCTCTTAGCTACACCTCCATCTATACTGATCTTTACCACCTTACACCATTTTCACACCTGGCCACCTCCAC